GGTTAGGTATACAAATATGCTTCGTTCAGTCACACTTGTTGATAAGAGGTGTCTCCCCAGATATTTATTTTTATTCCACTGTTGTCTAAGAAGGTACATGGCAATATTTCAATCTTGTGAAATGTATTTATGCTTGATCTATCATTGAGGATGTGATTGATCTTGGAGTATGTTCCATATGGTGATGAGTAAAATGTATATTCTGTGTTTGTTGGGTGGAGTGTTCTGTGTGTATCTACTAAGTTCATTTGGTCAAGTGTCAAGTTGAGGCGCCGGAACGCTTTGACTTTTTACCTTGATGATCTATCTAGGATTGTTAGTGGGGTATTTAAGTTCCCAGCTATGATAGTGTTAGAGTCAATATCTTTTTTTTAGTTTACTTAGTAGCTGCTTTATAAAAGCTGGTACTCCTGTGTTGGGTACATAAATGTATAAGATTAATATTTCTTGTTGATGGATCAAACCTTTTATCATTATGTAGTGTCCTTTTGTATCTTTTGAAATTTTGGATACTTAAAGGTTTTGTTTTGTTTTTTGTCTGATATTAAGACCATGACTCCTGCCTTCTTTTGTGATCTGTTTGCCTGAAAATTTGTTTTTCATCCTCTGATTTTGAGTCTGTGGGCATTCTTTGTGGTGAGATGAGTTTCCTGGAGGCAGCAAATTACTGGGTCATGTATTTTTATCCAGTTTTCCATTCTATGTCTTTTTAGTGGTGCATTTAGTCCATTCACATTCAGGCTGATTATTCAAATGTGAGAGTTGTCTCTGTCATAATGCTTCTATAAGGCTATTTTGCTTTCACTTACCTTTTGTGTTCATATATATGTGTATTTTCATTTTTGAGGGTATTCTGCTGCTTCTGTGTCTGTAATCTTGTGAAGTATATGGTCTTTCTTTTGCTTCTTTTTTTTCTTCTGTGCACAGCACCTTTTTAAGGTGCCACAGTCTTCTGTAGAGCTGGTCTCGAAGCAGCGTATTCTTTTAGGGACTGTATGTCTGGGAAGGATTTTAATTCTCCATCACTGATGAAGCCTAGCTGGGCTGGGTAGGAAATTCCTGGTTGAAATTTTTTATCTCTGAGAACATTAAAGATTGTGGTCCCATTCCTTCTGGCTGTAGTCTGTAGTGTTACTGTAGATAAGACTGCAGCAATTCTGATTGGTCTCCCCTGCTAGGTGTTCTGACCTTCAGTATTTTTTTCTTTTATACCTACTTTGTGTAGGAGAACTATTATGTGTCTAGGGGTTGGTCTTCTCATAAGAAGTCTTGCGGGGTTCTCTGGATCTCTTGTGCTGGTATAGTCAACTCTGGCCAAATGAGGGAAGTTTTCTTCAATGACCTTATGGAATGTTTGTTCTAAGGTGCTTTCCATTTCTCTTTCTATTTCAGGTATTCCAATAAGATGTAGGTTTGGTTTCTTTATAAAATTGCATATCTCTTTGTGACCCGCCTGGACAACTTGGCGAGACCTTATCTCTACAATAAATCAAAAAATTAGCCGGGTGTGGTAGTGCACACCTGTAGTTCTGGCTACTTGGAAGGCTGAGGTGGAAGGATCGCCAGAGCCTGGCAGGTCAAGGCTGCGGTGGCCGGGAGCGGCCACTGCACTCTAGTCTGGGTGACAGAGTGAGACTCCAACTCAAAAAAAAAAAATTGCATATTTCTTGGAGAGTTTCCTCTTTCTTCTTAAGTTCTTTTCCTATATTTTTAATAGATTGTGTTAATTCCATGTTTTGGTCCTCCAGCTATGAGATTCTTTCTTCTGCTTGGTCAATTCTGCTTCCCATGCTGATCAGTTTGTTACTTATTTCTTGTATGGACTTCTTTATTTCTGTTACTTCTAAGTACACTTTCTTGAATCTGTGTACCTCTGTTGCAGTTGCATTTAGTTTTAGCCCTTGCATTTCTTGATTTTTATTCATTCTATCCAATGATTCTCTGATCTCTGTAAGTGCCTTCTGGGTAGTGTTGTTCTGGGTGATAGCCATTGTTTGTGTCTCAGTAGCTGTTCTTTCTAGCACTGACTCTTTGCTGGGACTCTGATGGTTACTGGCAGTTTTTTGTTGGTTTTTCTTCATTTGTAGAAGTTCTTTTTTCTTTCTCTTTAATTCCATTGCTCAGTGGAAAATGGAGAAGTAGTCACTTCTGATGTTTGCTCTACCTTTTGTCCTTCCTTGAGTTGGGAGTCTGTGTCTGTTCAATTTTGGAGTAGGGTTGGAGGTGGGCATTGTACTGTCTCTTTACAATTTTGAGCACTTACTAGGGAGTGGTGGGGGCTGCAAGGATTCTGAGTCCTTGAAGTTGGGACTCATTCTTCATTTCTGCACAATATGACCTTACAGTGGGTATGCTTACATTGCTCCTGAGTCCAAGACAGGGTATAAGAGGGAAAAGAGATAAAAAAGAGAAAGGAGGAGAAAGACAGAAAAGAAGAAAAAAAATAGAAAAAGAAGGAAAACATAAAAAAGAGAAAGAACAAAGAAAAATAGAAGAAAAGTAAAGAGAAAAACGATCAACAAACAAAACAACCAAACAATATAATCAATCAGGCAAACCAATATCATACTCACAAAACAAAACAAAACAAAACAAAAAAAACGTTGATAAAGAGTTCTCAGCTTTAGTTTTTCTCTTTGAGAGAGGGTGTGCTCCCTCTTGTGACAGGTTCTGTGATTGCAGGGCTGTTACTGGAGGTTCCCTAAGCACCTTTGGAACTTAAGATGTTAGAATTATTGCAATACTGTAAGAAAAGGATTGGCAGTAGCGGGAAACTGCGGGAGGTGGGTTGGGGGTATCAGGATTGGCAGTAGTGGGACTCTGTCTGGGGAAGGGGGGTGGGCACACCTCATCAACAAGGATACCTGCATAATGAACATTTGTATATACATAACCCTGAATTGTACCCCACATCTTTAAAAGGAAAAAAAATTCCCAGAGGCTAATTTTTTTTATTTTTTGAGTTGGAGTCTCACTCTGTCGCCCAGACCAGAGTGCAGTGGCTGCTCCGGCTACCGCGGCCTTGACCTGCTGGGCTCTAGCGATCTTTCCGTCTCAGCCTTCCAAGTAGCTGGTACTACAGGCATGTGCTACCACGCCCGGCTAATTTTTGATTTATTGTAGAGATGAAGTCTCGCCAAGTTGCCCAGGAGGGTCTTGAACCCGCAGGCTCAGGCAGTTCACTCACCTCGGCCTCCCAAAACGCGGGATTACAGGCTAAGCCACTGAGCCCGGCTTAATTTTTTTTTTTTTTTTGAGTTGGAGTTTCACTTTGTCGCCCAGGCTAGAGTGCAGTGTTACGGCCACCCCAGCGTCAACCTTCTGGGCACCACCGATCCTTCCACCTCAGCCTTCCAAGTAGCCAGAACTACAGGTGCATGCTACCATGCCTGGCTAATTTATTTATTTGTTGCTGTAGAGATGAGGTCTCACCAAGTTGCCCGGGTTGGTCTTGAATCCACAGGCTCAGGCAATTCACTCACCTCAGCCTCCCAAAGTGCTGGGATTACAGAATGAGCCACCAACCCTGGCCCCAGAGGCTAATCTTAAAGCAGCTTGTGGGACCCTCCTGCCTGGGAGTTGGGGGGGGGGGATGGTGACCACCAGTTGGTTGATTCAAAATCTGACTGTGGCTGAGTTAACACCAACCTTTGGGAGGATCACTACCTAATATTAGCCATAAAAACATCCTTTGCCATGCCTGTGTGCCAAATTTCTAAATTTAAACCCTTGCACTCAGCCTAAAAATCTAAAATGGTTTCGCTGAGACATGAGCCTGGCCATCTCCCATCTTCTGGCTTTTGGAACAATAAAGTCACTTTTCTTCTAAAAAAAAAAAAAATAGAAGAATCTTCATCCCCTGTTGCCTGTAATTGGTAACCGTCATATGCCCATGTGAAGGAAGGGGACTGAAATAACTTGACACAGCATCTCTAGGGATCTCACCCCCATCGTTCTTCTCCCAGCTTTGTCACAGCTCCCAGGTATCCAGTCCAGTGCAGGGGAATGGGGCCTCCTGTCTCTGCGCTGCCCTCCTGATCTCTTTCACTTGTTGCTAGAGGAGGGAGAGAATCAGTTAGGCACTCACCAGCCTCCTTTTTGGGCACTTCTGCTGTCTGCATCTATCACCCAGCAGCTGGCTCAGGGTGGATCATCTGGGTTTTTGCATCTGCTATTACCCACTAGGGCTTGAGCACTAGGAGCAATGTTCTCTGAGGTTACAAAAAGCAGCCCCAGTGCAACACAGAGATAGTACCTGATCTCAACATGTAGTTCTGTTGTTCCACAGAGGCCACCCTGGATCACTTCTCTGCCCAGGCTTTAGATAGTCTGCTCAGTTTCTCTGCCAGCTGCTGCTCTTGTCAGTAGTGGGGTCGATAGCTCCCTCTCCAGCAGTTACCATAGTCTCCAGATTTCAGGACCCTGTAGTAAGGCTCTGGAGCCCAGTCTAGGCTCAGGGTGGCTTCTCCACACTGTTTTCTCGGGACTCTGCCTCAGGCTGTCTGCAGCCTTCACTGCTAGCATTCAGCCCAGTGCTGTGGTGTTGGGGTTAGCAATCACTCCAACATTTCTTCCTGGAAAAAGTTCCACTGATTTTAGAAAATGATGCTCAGCTTTTGTGTTCCAGGAAGCCCTAGGGTCCAAGCAGAGGTGCTGTGGCACTAGCCACTTCGCCTGGAAGGCCCTGGCTACTGGCTCTCGAGTCCCCACTCAGTCAGCCTCTCACACTCCCACTTCACAGAGAGAATCATGCAGAATTGTCCATACAATCACTCTCATACCCAGGGACTAGTACAGTCCAACTGGCTAAGCCATCTTCCCGGAAATCTGGCCACCAAGTTTATTCTTAAATCAGATCATCAGTACAAGGCAGCCATGGAAACCCCCGGAAAGTCCTGGGCCCAAAGGGTGGTAAGGTTGGGTGGACATCCATGCTGGGGGTCACCTGGGAGCTTATGGTGCTATGATTCCTCCTCTGCCTCTCTTCCTCTGTTCTGCAGCAATGGAATGGCAGGGATACTGCTCTCATGGTCACCCGTGTGGTCAACCACAGACGCTTCTCAGCCACGGTCAGTGTGGCAGACACTGCCCAGCGCAGCGTCAGCAAGTACCGCTGTGTGATCCGCTCCGACGGTGGATCTGGTGTGTCTAATTATGCGGAGCTGATCGTGAAAGGTGAGTGTCCCCAGCCCTTGCCTCTACCCTGCTGGCTAGGGTTACTAGGTCTCTGCTGTTCTCTTCCCAGGCAGCCTGGTGCTGCTGAAGGAGTTAAAGCACCTTTTTCTCATCTGCTGCTCCTCCCAGCATCCAGTAGAATGAGGTGTTACTGAAACAACTCAGAATCAGAACATCAAATACCACGTGTTCTTACTTATAAGAATAATGGGTCCACACGGACATAGAGAGAGTGGAATACTAGACATTGGAGACCTTGAAGGGGAAGAGGGTGGGGGGCATGCGTGAAGGCCGAGACATTACTTAATGGGTGATGGCTACACCGAAAACCCAGACTCACCACTATGCGGTATATCCAGGTAAGAAAACTGTACTTATACCCCTTACATTTATGCAAATAGTTAAAAAAAAAAGAGTGATCCAAGAACTTCCAATCACCCTGCCCTTCCTCTCCTAACATGAACCCCTTAAAAGAGGGGAAACTGTTATAAAATTATGCAACATTGCATTACTATTCAGAGTTGAGTCTCACATACAGGAGGCATACGTGAAAGACTGTAGGATATGTAATACAGAAGGCATCCCCAAATTTGGCTTGATTTTGTATTCAAAGTTAGAATGAACAAATGTCCTTGTATTTTGGTGGCACGCTGTTGCAGGGTTTACGTGCTATTGTTTCTGAGGGATTTTTAAATTGAAATCTTGATACAATGACAATATTTTGGAAGGACTTTTAAAATAAATAATTTTTCACCCCAATGGTCTTGATTCAATTCTTTTCAATTTTCTTGCTCTCATTCACCTTGAGATATTGTGTATATGCTTCCCGTTAAAATACACACTTTTTTTTTCTGCTTCTCTCAAGTTACTTTCGAAACTCTGTGTAATCTTTTTCACTGCACTGAATGGTCGTATACTCTTTCATAAAGTTAATCATCCAATTTTAAAAACCCCCCTATTTGCTGTCATTTAGGTAATTCCAGGTGGTTTTTTTTTCCTTTGTGTATGTAACAATTAGCACCTCTAAGGAGTTCTTCTGGAGAGAACAATTTTATTCTACCGAACCAGATTATTTCCTTACGATAAATTCCTTGGAGGTAGAGTTGGTAGGCCCAAGAATGTGGGCATCTGTATGGATTTTTCTTTGTGTTGCAATGTTGCTTTTGCAAAAAATTGTTTGACAGGTTATACTGGCAACAGCAGTGTATTTGTTTTACTGATGTTATGTTCACCAGTTAAAATTTTAATATAGCATAATTCAGTGAATGAAATAATGACACTGTTCATGGTATGCTAGCTGTAGGATGACACCTGATGTGTTTAGAGGGAGAAGACATTGACCGAGCCCTGCAGGGCTCCTGAGTTGGTTTTTTCTTGGTCAAACTATGGGTGGGTGTGAAAACCTTGACCTCTTTGCTGGCCCCATGTGACTAGGAGCCCAACTTGACCAGACTGGAGGTTCAGTCAGGAACTCCCTATCCCCGCTGTCTTGACTCTATGTGGATAGTCACATGGCTGATGATGTGTCATCATTCATGTCTCAGTTTAAATGTCAGCATGTCATCTTCTCCCAGAGAACTTCTCTGACTCCTCCCCCACCTCGCTTCCTGGTGGTCACATTCTGTCACATCACCTGTTCTCCTTGTCTATGGTGGTTCTTGTCACACTTCACAATGATAATTTTCCTTTATATATTTCTTTGATATTTCACTCTCCTTTCAGGATATAAGCTCTGTGAGAGGAGGGGCATTGCCTGTGGATTCCAAGTCCCTGTACTTAGTGTCATACCTGGCCCAGGTGTTGAGATGCCAAACCATATGAAATTGCCAGTGTTTGACCATTTTGACCTACACAATCAGTCATTTCATAAGGCTCAACTTTAAAAAGTTGTGGCATGATGGATGAGTGAATGAACTATTAGACTCAGCAGGAGTTTATTTCATCACCGTGATGCCATGAACACTTAAGCCAAAGATCAACAAACTAAGCAGTCACTAATAAAACAATGAATTTAAAAAATTGTTTACATTTGATTACAATGAACTCCATTCATATAGTAGAGAAGCCATCATTCTGATCGCTCATATCTTTGCCATTTTGGTGCCCTTAGATTGGTTTGTGGGGCAGTGGCCTTTCTGGTACTCAGTGAATGTGCAATTTCCTGAGCTATATTCCTGGAACATTCCTTATACTTCTTTTATGACTGGCCTCCCACACTTGAGTGGGAGCCTCACGAGAGAGTGTGCCATGTTCTCTCCTGCCCTCCATGGTCCTGCCAGTGCCTTGCACGTACTGGGGTAAAGTTGGCAACAAGAGAATAGGTGCATGACTGTGGGAGTTAGTGTAGCACTTTGAACTTTCCATGCACAGATAAATGGAACAAAAAACACTTGATTTACTCTTTCCTCATGCCTCCTATCCAGTTGCAGGATGGGGGAGCTTCAGGAAGCCAAATCCAGAGGCAACTGGGATGGAGAATGTGGCGAAGCATCCTTGTTTTTATTTGGAGAGTGGACATGGGTTTCTAGGACACTGATTTGTTCTCCTGAGCCTGAGTTAAGTGCGAGGAAGCAGTGCTGCCTCAGGCCCCGGGTGCACTAGCTGGACCTTGCAATATGGCCCCATAGCCACTTCTGTCCTGAAGACCCTCCTGCAGCTCTTGTCACTACAGCTTGGGGATGCCATGGCTCCAGGTCTCTTTCACAGTGGGCAGTAGTGGGTTGGCACTCCCTGTAATATGGTCCTGTTTTATTACACCTTGGTGAAATTCATAATTTTGGTGTGGGTTATCACTTTTTTTGTGCCCATTTTCCCCTTGTTTTAATATCAGTTGGTAGTAAGTTAGGAGCTTAGTCCCTTGAATGTAAAGAGGTCCCTTTACATATGTCATCTCATTTTATCCTAATTGCAGCTCAGTACATTGGTTTTATTTTAACTGATTTCACCATTGGTAGAACCAACATAGTCAGGTTAAGAAATAGAGGGTAGTCCTAAGGAGTGGAGCTGAAAGCCAACCTGGGTCTGGCTCATGCCATTTCAGCCACACCTAGAAGACCCACAGGTTGTGGCCTTGTTGGAACCTGGTATCGCCAGGCATCATGAACAGTGCTAGAGGGGCCCAATAGCAGGCAAGCAGGAGTTCCTGGGGCTGTCTAGGTAACTGGGACTCATGCATGTCTCTTCCCTGAGTCTCATGAACTTCCAGGTCCCCGAAGAAATATATTTAACCTTTCTTTACACACACACACACACACACACACACACACACACACACACACTCCCAAAAACCTAGTGGTATCCAAGCAAAACAAGAAAATAGAATGCAGGGACACCCAGAAGCACAGGCAACCAGAAGCAACCAGTCACCCTGAAGTGTGTGCCCAGGGACCCATTTGAACATTTGAAGACAGCAAGCAGAGCATTGAGGGGAAACTGTCTAATGAAGAATGACTCACTTACCTCTTAAGAGCCCTTTTCCTTTGCTGAGCTGGAATGCTTAAGTACTTTAATACTGAAGTATTTGTACTTGTTAAAAAAAAAAAAGGAAAAAATATTAACCATCCTTTCAGAGAAGGGAGAACATGTGAAAAACAAAGACAAAAAAAGAATTCTTAAGGGCCAAGTGCTGCCCTCTGTGATGGGCCTGATCCCTTTTTCTGGGTTCTGATTGATTTAGGCAACACACAGATGGCAAGGGCTAAGGGACAGGGAAGTTTGAGGGGCAAGGAGTCACCACCAACCCAGGGACTTCCCAGAAAGAAAACCAGTCCTGCGCAGTGTTCCTCCCCACAGGTTTCCTCCATTTGGTCTAAATTCAGAGGCATGAGAGAACTCTGGAGCCAGGATGTCTGGGTTTGAATTCCAGCCTTATCTTTTCCCAATTCTGACCTTGAATATGAGTAAACCTCTTGGGGCCTCAGCTGGCTCACTTGGGAGCGGGAATATTGGATTACTTCCCTCAGAGGATGTTGTGAGGATTACATGGGATAATGAATGTAGGAATTCTTAGAACCGTGCCTGATATACATGCTCTAAAGTGTTAAACAAAATAAGCAAATTGCCTGTGGGGACAGAATTTCTCAGGCAAGGAAGGAAGAAGATGAAGGACTCTGTGGGTGGGGGCAGGACCACTGGCCCTGATGCTGATTTGATGCGTGTCTCTGTGGTTATGGAGAAATCATTGAAGGCCTCTGCAAAGTGGGGTCCTGAGCTCTCTCTCCATACAGTGATTGCTGAGCATAAGAAAAGGGAGGGAGGAATATGAAAGTGTGGGCTTGGCTACATTTGGGTCATGGGGTCCAAGCAGGTCAGAATTCTCTGGGTTCCCTTGTGTGTCTACTGCCGATGAATCCAGAAATCTCATTCAGGAATCTGGGGGCAAAGGAAACGTAGCTAGTTCTGCTGGTCCTCAGTCATCTGGCCACATGGGCCCACTCCCTCTTGACACTGTTCATTCAAAACTCTGACCACCCTGTGTTTCGGAGGTCACAGGGCTTCTCAGCAACCAAGGGTGTCAGGAGCTAGAGGCCCCTGTGCTGGATTTCAGGGCAGGTGCTCACACTGAGCGGAGCAGTCAAGGCCCAGACTGGGTCTCTGTCTCTCCAAACAGGAATATTCATGGCTGGCTAGTTTGCAGTTCATGTGTGATTCTGAGATGGTAAAGATCACTGCTTCAGAAGATGCCGCCTAATTTAAGTGTAGGTAATATCAAATTCTCAGGGTGACACGCAGACCGAAATGAAAGCAAATTGGAATTACTTAATTCTGAAGAGCTGTTTATTGAGTTGTGATAATGTACCTGGGTATACATTAGATTACTCTGTAATTGAGGTTTCGCTCAATTGACAATTCGTTCCCTCAACCTACCTGTTCCAGGCCAGTGCTCTCTCCTTGTTTCTGGTTTTCCAAGTGTCTTTGATTTCAAGGTGTTTTCACTTGAATCAAGGTCTTCAACCAAAGTTATGCAGATGCGTCTTGATGAAAATTTTCTAAATCATAAA